TTAATATATTCATCCACAGAGTTGATGTGATCAGTGAAATGTTGGACTTCCTGGGCTTTAATTTTAACCCAGGTGTGTTAATTAGGTGTCAACGATAGGCATGTGATGTGAGTATCAGTCAAATGGAGGCAGGGCTTAAAAGCCTGAATTTTGCCTGAAACAGACTGAAGAAGTCCCTTGGAGAAGAGACGAAATGTTTCATTAGAGAAGAACCCGTCCAGAAGACCAACACAATTTTTTTCTTTTTGATTTTTTACCTGGATTACTGAGATGCATCAGGACAATTGAAGCATAGTTTTGGCCAGCAATAATGAGAATAAATGTAACTCAAAAATGAAAATATTGAAGAAGAATATAAAAATAAGATCATTTTAGACAAAATTTAACACTCGTGAAAATCACTAATAGTCACAGTTTGCTTAACTTCATAACTTCATTGTTTCAGCCCCATAATGAGCATGACTTTCCTTATGAGGAAACTAACCAGCCTTTATAAAACACAATAGATTTTTCACTGGCCAGCTGCTGTATAACTGCATACTCTTGTTGTCCAGCATGAAATCCAGTTTTAAAATTTTTGTTTGAGAGTTTTTCCCAGTAATGACTCCAGTTTCCATCGCTGTCTGCACCATAGCCAAATACATGAACCTAAAAACAAAGAAACAAAAAATGTGTTTAATAAGCAATGACAGTTTGCTGAGTCATGTTTCTGTCATCAGTGACCTGAGATCCTCATGCTTTGCTCTATTTGTCACTTCTACATGCCCTCTTTTTCTTGTCAAGTTGCAAATTTATCCAACAAACAACATAACTCATTACTTTATAATGTCAGTGCAAAGATGCTCTGGCCACGCTTGTTCCTTTTGTCTAAACTGGTTACATACGTAAGTTTGCACAACCTAAACTATTATTTGAAGCAATTTACAAAGCGTCTTGAAGATCTCATGTTAAAAACAAACATGGACTTGGCGTTAAATTGTAAATCATGGAGCACAGTGAAAACAAACATGAGTAAATGAAGAAAATATAAAACGACAGTGATACTACAGAAACTTGGAGACATCAACAGCAACGCTGAAGAAATAGAAAGTTCTGACAGGTTCTGGTTGTGTACATGTGACAACAGTTTCCTGTATTCACAAAAGATCTGGACATTGGGGTATGGTTGCTTTTATTTTCTTTCCAAAAAACACCTGACTAAATCAAATGCTGTTGAGAAAATGTGTTGTGGTCTAATGAGAACAAAGTTAGACTTTTCAGCCACGCTTCCCAAAAGTGCCATAGAAGGACTGTGCATCACAAAAAGAACATCACAGTAAAACACGGTGGTGGCAGCATCATGCTGTGGGTTTGCTTTTCTGTAGCTAGAATTAGCATTTTAGTTAAGGTAGATGGAATCATAAACATCTGATTTGGGCCGAAAGTGGCATAATGAGAAGAATATTCTACTTTGAGACAGTATGTTCTCCCTGTGATGGATTTATAACCTGTCCAGGGTGTACCCCGCACCTCACACTGTGACTGTTGGCACCAGTGACCCTGAAAGGAAGAAGCAGAGATGGATGGATGGATGGATGGCTGGATGGATGTATGGCATGTCCCAATGTAAGTATTAGTGGACTAGTAAGGGATACAGATTTGGGATTTAAAATGGTAATGGACTGTACTTGTATATAGCGTCTTTCTACTCAACCAGTATACTCAAAGCGCTTCACACTACAATCTGTGTCCTCATTTACCCATTCACACAGAACTCTATCAAATCTCCTACAAAGCTAACATGTACAATCATCTATGGAGACTAATCAGTGCCAATCACATTCATACACTGATGGGACACACATCAGAGGCATTGGGGTTAAGTATCTTGCCCAAGGACACAACAACTGAGACAGCTGGACAGGGGATCGAACCGGTGACCTTCCGTTTCCAGGACGACTCGCCTAACCACTCTGCTACAAATGTAGCAGTTAAAGTTCAGTGGTTGTGTGACCCAAAGTTAGAGATACTGAGATGACGGTGGAGGTGTACTGAACATTGATGAGTTTAGATGTTCACAGTGTTAGTTGTTTGTGTACAATTTGTCATGAAGTTTTATGGCCTGAGCATAAAAATTAATCTTCGATCAGTCCCCGTCACATTTTTTGAGTTGCATTGACTTTTTTAAGTTTGAAAAATTCCATCCAAAAATATATACGTGCAGCTCAACTGGGATTAATGCACAATGACATCCATACATCAAACCATGTAGATAAATGCATACAAAACTATAAGACATTTACCTAAGGGGATCAATGGGATTATAGCAAAATGTTTATTAAAATGCCCCCTTTAAAGCCCAACAGCTTAGCCAACTTTACTTGACTGAACTGGCATTTTGACTTTTTGCTATTGTAGGGGTCACCTCGAGTGAAATAATCAAAGAAACTGTCTTGGACCTCAGACATCTGATGGGCCTTTAAAGGGAAAAAAAAACTATTTTCCACTTAGAACTTAATTTAGGCCATGACTGGTCATCAAACAATGTTTATCAAGTTACAGGAGAAAAACGAGAACACATATATTTTCTCCCTCAGTTTGATTTCAGCTATGTATGGAATTTCTGTGCAACAAATCTTACTTAACTTAACTAATCATTGTGGTTTAAGTTTTGATGAAACAAAGTATTTGTTTGAATCATATTGCAAATGTTTGAGTTTGAAGTGATTCATTCTTTCAGTTGTTTTTAAAGAGTTCTTATCAGAAAATAACTAAACAGGTCATGATATGTTTTGTTTCTGAACTACACAGAAGCAATAATTATCTTAGACAAGTCTGGCCTTTGCAACTTCTTCTAACATTTTCCTAATCTTCCTGTACTAACCTCACCATGCGGGCGGAACTTAAAAAACCTTGTTCTTTAGTAACTAACAGTTTCTGCATGGAGAGTAGAGAGAGACGGACCTCCTTGCCGTCCACAACAACATCAGCTGTTTTCTCCCTGGAGAAACAGCGTTTTGGCTGTAGGTTTGACCCTTTATCGCCCACAGGGAACCTAAACAGCCGCGGGACACAACCCATGTTGTGCCCAAAACAAGAGTCCAAAGCTCGAAAGCAACGTTGTCTTGACTTCCTTTGGGAAGACAGTCTTATTTTGGAATCGAGATCCAGTGAGCCTGACCTCTTCATTACAACTGACATGGACTTAAGCTGACGCTGGAAAGTAACTCACCGGAGGATCACTACCAAGTTGGAAAATCTAAACGGATTTTCTGTACCGACCGTTGACCTTCCCGAATACCTGGACAGGTGACCCACATCATCTTCAAAGGTATTGCTGGCTTTGTTACTAAGTGTTGCTGGTCTGATGGATGTCAAGCAGGAGACGCTGCTCTTCTGGTTCTCMCATTACATTTAATAAAGATAAGATTATAAGTTAGGAACTAACTGTTATCTTGCTTTCCTCATTTCTCTTAAACCCTTACCTTGCCAACCAAAGTTATTCGCCTCAAATGTCTGGTATTCAACGTCTAGCTGGATATTTGCTGTCTATTTTAAGTGTTGAATTGATGAACAATCAAGTTTAGACACTTTCTGGATTTTTATTGATTCTTAACCTTTTAAAGGAAATTGATTGCTCACAATTAAGTGTACTGTAGTGATTTTGTTTGATTATGTAAATAAATGGTCGCATTAAGAAGTTGTAATTTTAACATAAGATTTTCTTTCTTCTCCGAGAAGGACACTTTTGTTATGCCAAGTTCTGAGTTTGGAATACCATTTGGATTATCCCTGTTCACCAATTGGATTACTTAAGATCAAAGACATTTTGAGGTTCCCATTTTGTGTTGCATTTCATCACCATGGACAGGTGATGACCTCCAAAAAGGGGGGAATGTATATGAATGTATAT